GGTCCGGTGGAGAGCTTTGGTTAATTCGGTGATGAACCTTCGGGTTTGGTAAGCCATCTAGTTAGTTTGTTATATGACATGTTCTTTTGTTTTTAGGACACTGCTAGACTAAACAGGTTCCAGTCATTGCCTCCCACACTTTATCGAGATGCTCATGGAGCAATTTTGATGTATGACATTACCAGCGCAGAGAGTTTTAACCAACTTGAAGAATACTGGATTGATGAATTGATCAGACACTCAACATACAGTAGCATCGGCAATAAGATTGACAAAGTAGGCTACATGCAATTTTTTTTGTCTTTATCTTTTATCGCAATAATAAGAAGCGTATACAATTTTTTTTCTTCTTTATTTTAGTTTCGTGCACCGGTTCAATCAACATGATTTAGATATCACCCAACCAATAGCTGGAGTTGCTATTAAGCACACGAATATTTCAGATCCTGGCATACTCTTTAAATTGGACATATGGGTACGTTTCCTGTCATCTACTATTAAAATATACAATTTTTTTTTCTTTATTATAGTTTCCTGCACCGGTTCATTGTTCCAGACTTCGATATACCCACCCTATAACAACTGGAGTTGATATTAGGTCAAAGAATATTTCAGTTTATGGCATACAATTTAAATTGGACATGTGGGTAAATTTATACAAAGCATTTTTCACATTATAATGTCTTTAATATTTCATATAAGAAATATGTGTCTATACAGTAAGAAATGTTTATAATTTACATGTATGACATGTCCCCCTCATACCACCGCATGCCGCGTCCTCAGGTTGCGGATAGAGGGACGGCCTCCAGGTATGGAGGTTAGCTGCGAATATATTGAATAAGCCAGTTGTGGACAGAGTTTGAGGGGTGGTCCTCCAGCTTCGGGGTTGAGCATAATGCTAACAACCTTTCACCGTAAAAAAAAAAGCACTGTTACGAACAAATTAACCAAGCCTCGGACCAGGACGGACTCTTTGGCACGACCATGGCAATTGAAAAAGGATATGAGATTTGGAACTTGAAACATTAGAAGTCTCTATAAGGCTGGGACACTGAAATCAGTGAGTAGGGAATTAGAGAATTATAAGTTAGATTTATTGGCAGTGCAGGAGGGGGAGATGATAGGGTGTGATCCCAGTGGACAATTTCACATTTTTCTATGGAAAGGGGAATGATAGTCATCAGTTAGGGATGGTTTTCTTCTTCTTCTTCTTCCCCATAGCAGAATTAGGACAGCAGTTAAGAGAGTAGAATTTGTTAGTGACAGGTTGTCTTATGTAATTTTGGAAGGACGTTGGTGTGACATCATTGTCCTTAATTATAATGCCCCAACCCACATACGAGAGATAGGAGTTGAAGGAGGCTGGATTTTGTTCGCATAGGACAGGGTCAGGTGGAGGGCTTTGGTTAATTCGGTGATGAACCTCCAGGTTTGGTAAGTCATCTACTTAGTTTGTTATATGACATGTCCTTATGTTTTTAGGATACTTCTAGACAAGACAAGTTGACATCATTGCCTGAGACCGTCTATCAAGGTGTTCATGGAGTAATCTTGATGTATGATATTACAAGGGAAGAGACTTTTAACAACCTTGAAGAATACTAGATTGACCAAGTTATAAGATATACAGAAGGAACTAACATCGTCAGGATGGTCATTGGCAATAAAATTGACAAAGCATTCTACATGCAATTTTCTTTCTTTATCCTCTTTTACCTGCAGGTGTCAAGGTAAACATTCGTTCATTTAATGTTATTAGACATTTGGTAGGACTCCTTGGACAGGTGATCAGCCCGTCGCAAGGCCTCTACCTACACAGGACAGCACAACATGGAAAGATGTGGACAAACATCCATGCCTTGAGTGGGATATGAACCCATGGTCCCAGTGCCCAAGTGCATGAGGTCTATGGCTCAGACTGGGTGGCCACTGCGACCGGCTATATGCAATAATACTACATGTATTTTGTCAAGTAATTGAAGTGGGAGGTGGTGTGTATGTCAGGAATGCAGAACAAAGTATGGAATGGGATTGAGTTAAGGGGAGAGAAACTCAAAATTGTGGAGAGCTTCAAATACTTTGGAAGTGTAATCAAGAAAGAAGATCGCAATAGGATGGAGCTAGTAAGGAGGGGGCAGCAGGGAGAGAATTTCTACAGAGCTGTGAGAGATTTGCTGTGGCAATGGAAAGTCCCAGTGAGGTGCAAGAGATTGCTGTATTAGGTGTACCTTGTACCAATTGTTACATATGCAGCAGAAACTTGGACATTGGGAAGGAAGGAGATACAGAAAGTAGATGCAGTAAGTGTGAAATTTTTGAGGTGTGCATTGGGTATGACAAGGAGGGATAGAGTACAGAATGAGGAAGTTAGGAAACGAATGGATGTGAGGGGTCTGGTAGAGAGAGTAGAAGAATCAAGAATGAAGTGGTATGGACACGTGAAGAGAATGGGAGAAGGGCGGCCAGCACGACAAATGTTGGACATGAGAGTGACTGGCACAAGACCAAGGGGAAGACCATAAGTAAGGTGGGAGAAGCAGATATAACGAGGAGTGATAGAGAGAGGTGCCAAGTGGCAGTTGGTGGAAGAAGAGGAGCGGTTGAGGGACAGGAATAGATGGAGGGGCTTTACAAAGCGGACCCGGGCCCAGGCTGGAAACAGCAATGGATGATGGTGGTGAGTGTATTGTACAGGACCAGCAGACCTGGTAGAGAACTTTATAGTAATTTTTCACTTTATTTTGTGGAGGGAATAAGTTTTATTCTAAACAGTTATATAGAAAATAATTTATCAAAATTGAAAATAAAGTAATTTCAGTAACCTGTCCAACACTTAATTACACTACTTACAAAATACTTTTCACACTACATATGATGTTTTGTCCAAATTGCCTTGAACTTAAAGGAGACCATAATAAATTATGTAAATTAACTCTTTCATCAGTTATAATACCATAACCTCTAAAAAATCTTTCTTACCTAGTTTGTCACTGAATGCTAGTATTATATACTGTTCCTAGTCCAAACCATTCTGGTCTACCTGTCACTGATTTAGTAAAAGTAGTAGTCCTTCACTTGGGATAATTGGAAGCACATATGAATGATTTCCCCCCCCTTGTATGTGGTTTTAAGATCAGCATTTCAGTTTCTAAAATGGTGATATTTTAATTCACTGATGGGGTTAAAACAATGAAATAATTCCCATCAAGTTAAACCCAAAAACAGTTTGAAGCAAAGAAGTGAGCAATATTGATCTCCAGTAGTAGTTTTTCTTGCTGGAAGAGATGATGATTACATTATCATCTGTGATAAGAGAATAGGTTTCAGTTTCACCATCACATGACTTTTGTTACATTTAGTTCCTTTTATTTGTTGGACTTCATTTCTGTTGAGTAACTGGATACAGCAATCCACAAATCTGAATTATATATGATATGAAATGGTAGTAATTATTGTTACAGGAGAATCTGGAAGTGAGCAGAGATGATGGTATGGAGTTTGCAAGAGATTATCGAGCACTCTTTATGGAATCCAGTGTCAACTCAAACCATGGTGTCCAATGTGCCTTTGAAGAATTGGTGCGGAAGGTCAGCATATACTTTTATTCTAATTCATCATAAGCAAGTATAATAGTTGAAGTTATTAATTTCAATAAACCTTGCAGTTCTGACTTGAAAATTATAGGTTCAGAGATCCCAGCTTCTAGGCACGATCTTGAACAGCAGTGCAGATACATCGGCATGAAGTGCCTCCACTCATATCTAATGGATGACATTTAGCATTGGCAGCCCTACACACACAAACAAATAAACAGAAAATATTGGTCTACATTACGCTATACTGTAAACCCATGATTATGCACTCACGTCGCACGAGAGCAAGGACAGCTTCAAAATTCTACAGGTTACACATTGTAACATTCTGGAAGGGCCAGCATCTCACATAGCTATTTAATTGTGAATGCCAGTTGTGATGCGCCTTGCTCACCAATCAGTATCACACGACAAACTCTGCTTTATGTTATGGGTGTATAGGCGCATCAGCTACTTTGGATATTAGCACTCTCTGATGTTAGTATTCTGGAAAAATCATGAAATGTTATACTCAATGTAACTGCTTCAATTTCCATGTGTTGCAAACTGTTCCTTTTAGGTTTGGAATTTTGTGGTTCTGCAGCTGCTAATATCATTGGGAGTCTTTAAAAATGGTTTTGCCCTCAGGCTTGTTAAAAACTAAGCTCCTACTTTAAACCATTTCCCTCAGTTCATAAGAAGAATAGGTCTTGTAGTATTGTATCCATGAGTATGTCTTTTTTTAATGGTTATTGAAATGATTGACTAATTTTCATAAAATTCAATATGAGCTAAAAGAGGACAATACAAGCACTCCAGAAACAGTACATGAGATGACTGTGGTTATGGGGTGGGCATTTGTTGTAATATCAATATGGAATTGTTTATATAAAACTAATTTCTATTATAATAAACCTTTGTTTCTGCTGACACCTCTACAGAGACAGAAATACTTGAAAGAAAGTAGAGTCATGAATTGTTCCCACGCATTGCTCATTCGTGTCAGTACATTAAACAAATCAAATTAAGCTTAAAACTAAAACTGAACTTTTATCTTAACCCTGTCTTTTAAAGTGGCAATTCCTTCATAACAGATATAACAGTTGTTAGCTCAGTAGTGAAACATTGCTCTTGAACCTTACGTATCCAGTATGCTCGCGCAGATTCCAGTTCCAACGCAGTCGGATTGTTACGGAATTTCCTTTTCTCCTTCACAGCTGTTGTGAATCGAAAGACCCAAGCTGTGATATGTAGTAATTTCCAATATGAACTGAAACGTGAAACGTGGAGAAGAGGTTCAGGTGTAGTGACCGTAAGAACTTGGGGGGCTGTTTTCCTTGCTTCAGGTAGTGATGTGGCTGGAATAGTAATGTCATGGGGCCAGGAAGCATGATGCTTAACTAGCCAGTCAGGTCCGTGCCACCATGAATCTAATGAACACAAGCCGTCTGCCTGACGTCCTCGAGAAAGATGATCTGCAGGATTATTCATTCCTGGGCAATGTCACCATTGACTAGGCGTGGTGCAGCTCAAAATGTCTTTAAGTCGATTGCAGATGAAGGTTTTCCAGCAGTTCCGATATCACTCATTATCCACCCTAGTGTTGCTGTCGAGTCACCCCATAGAGTGGCTTTGGTAATATTGGATCCAGTTTGTTGGCAGAAGTAGTGAAGAAGATGCGAGCCTATTAGTGCAGCAAGCAACTCACTCCTGGGGAGTGTTACTTTCTTTATATGTGCTAATCTATTTTTACTGCACATCAGATGCACGGAGCATTTGTTGTCAGTGGTTGATCGAATGTATAACACACGCCATACGCTCTCTCTGAGGCGTTGCAAAAGACGTGAATTGCGGATTTATTGTGCGTCTCCGGTAAACCTATCCATCTTGGAATGCGTATGGAGGATAAGCAGTGTAATTTTGAAATCCAGAGTTCCCATCTCTGTGCGAGATCTGGTGGTAGAATTTCCTTCCAATGCAAGCCCCTGTGCCAAGTATCCTGGAAAAGTATTTTCCCGATGAACAACACAGGTGCAAACAGGCCTAGTGGATCATAGAATTTGGCCGTCATTTGAAGGATGTGACGTTTTGTTCCAGATTTCCCTATTAGATTGCTTGTAATGTCTCTGGGGTCAGTGAAGAAATCATCTGACTCCATGTCCCAATCAACTCCAAGTACACGTGTTTCAGACTTAACTTCTGAACCTTCTGCTTACCAGATATCTTTCAGTGGTTGGGAGTTTGTTACCCATTTTGATAATTGGAGTTTAATGTGTCTGCAAAGTGCCGTGAGCTCGTAATAAACTGACATTACTTGATTATTGTTTTCCAAGCTGGCTGCAAAGTCGTCCATAAATGTACATTTATCTAGTTGTGCTGTCGCCGTAGGGTATCCCTCAGTGTACAGTGCTGCCAACTCTCGCAATGTCGCTTTTAGAAGGAAAGGACTACTGTTAAGTCCAAATGAAAGGCAGGTAAAACGCTAGGCTATGACGTCATTTGTAATTTGATATATTCCATCACTATCTAACTCCACACGATACCAAAGAAATCTTGTCAGATCTCTGTCGTTCTCATTCAGACTCAATTGTAAAAAGGCGTGGTTCCCATCACAGTCCAGTGCCTTCTCATACATCCGGAACCGTAGGAGTATTGCAAGTTTTTCTGGTAGTAGATTGGGTCCCATTTCCAAGGTATCGTTCAAGGATGGAAAACCTTGCTCGTGTGATGATGCATCAAAGACTATTCTGCATTTCGTGGCACCTCTCTTTCCTTTCTTCACGGCGTGGTGAGGCAGGTGAAACACATTGTCGAAAGTTTCATCGGGAGGGACAACCTCTACTTGATTCTTTAAGATGTAATCTAGCATGTGGTTATGGTACATGGATTTGAAGTCTGCATTTGCTTGTAGTCTAATCTGAAGCGTTTGGAATCGCTTTTCTGCCATTGTGCGAATATCCGACAACAATATATCTTTCTTTCTTGGGAGTGAAACTACTCTTCTGCCGTCTTCGATGCGGTATGAAGCATGGAACTCCTGAAGAATAGCAGTTTCCTTGGCTGTGCGCGCACGGTCTTGCGTCTCTCGGATACCAATGGTCTCTAGGTGCCAGAAACGTCGCTGGGTGTCGTCGGACTTCTCGATGTCGTTGAGTGAAATGTGATGTACCATGGTTTTATCCGCTAGTCTGTTCTGTCTTCAGAAGTGTGCTTTTTATTTTTAATTTTAGAGTCAGCAGTTTACAAATGTGTGCAGTCTTATCATAAGGAGGTCTTTTTATTTAAATGTCCAAATTTAAATCCATTCAGTGAGAGGTACAGTGCCTATTTAAAGAGAGTACTACGAATGTTAATATGCTTAACTTGTTATTCATTTTGATTGGTCACTCTCTCATTCCACTTACTTCTGTTTAAATTTGTACATTACTATTTAATGGGGAAAAGGATAATTATTACTTTTTGCCTATATTGAAACACCATCTTTAAGTAGGTACAGGGATGAGGATGGGCTCCGGAGATGTTGGCTCTATGGAGTGCACATCAACTTGTATGACCTGATCAGTTAATCCCATGCTCCCACCTAGCTCGATGTTGGAATGACTTGCGAGCTGTTGCTTGATGGCAGACCTCCTGCTACTACCACCAAGATCTGCACCGGCAGCAGCTCCAAGCAGGCTCGCGCACACCGCCGCGCCCTCCTACTCGCCGGGGCTTCAGCGATAATGCCTTTGCCTTCCGGCATCCATTTTCAGGGCTAGTCTCACAGAAGGCACAGTATGGTTCCAGCGACTGCTTAGTCTTTCATTCATGATGTTTGATGTTTGAGACTGATGGGTTTCTGTCAGTGGAAGATTCAAATTGTTCCCAAAACCTCGACCATGTTTCTATATCTCCTGAAAAGGATTCTAATTTAATGGTGGGCAATTTTATTTCTTGATTAATCGTGGGTTGATTTTTTGCAACTGGTAGTAAACTAACAACAGGCGGTTTAACATCTTCACGTTTCCTCCCTGATAAGATTATTAGCTTTCTGGATTGCGCGCTTTGAAATGTCTACGTATTCGTCACAAGTTTGGACGTCCGTTTCATATTCATCATCATCGAGTAGGTCGTAAATGGAATCATCTAGATTAACTAACTAGATGGCTTACCGAACCCGAAGGTTCATCACCGAATTAACCAAAGCCCTCCACCGGACCCTGTCCTGGGCCAACAAAATACAGTTTCCTTCAACTCCTATCTCCCATAGATCCCGCCTGAGATTATCCTCCCATCTATGTCTAGGTCTCCCCAGCGGTCTCTTCCCTTCAGGTTTCCCAACCAGTACCCGGTGCACACATCTTGTCCCATCTATGTGCGCTACATGCCCAGCCATCTCATTCTTCTCGACTTAATCACCCTGACAATATTATGGGAGAGTACAGATTTTTTAAGCTCATCATTATGCAGTTTTCTCCATGCCCCATCGTCTTCCCTCTTAGGCCCAAATATTCTCCTCAACACCCTGTTCTCAAACATCTGCAATCTGTGTTCCTCCCTCTGAGTGAGAGACCATGTTTCGCACCCATACAAAACAACAGGCAAGGTTTTTGTTTTGTATACTTTAATTTTCAGGTTCTTAGAAATCAGATGGGAAGGGAAAATATTTTGAACTGCGAAGTAGCAAGCATTTCCAGAATTTAATCTCCTCCTAACTTCCTCATGAGTGTCATTTTGATTTGTTATTGTTGTTTCCAGATATTTGAACTTTGTAACCCTTTCAAAGGACTTATTAGCTACCCTAAGATAATTTTGCCCGCCTGTCTTCTGATGACGAGATACTAACATGTACTTAGTTTTTTCTGAATTTACTTCTAGCCCCACCTGTCTACTAGCCTCTAGTAAAACTTCTGCATTCCTCTTTATTGTATTCATATCGTCCCGCAATAAATTAACATCATCAGCATATGCCAGTAGCTGATGTGTCCCTTCAGTTGCAAACTCTCCTGCCTATCTTGGACTTTCCTGATAGCATATTCTAGCGCAAAGTTAAAGAGCGAGGGAGACAAAGCATCTCCTGGTTTTAGACCATTCTTGATGAAGAATGTCTCAGATACATATTTACCTATTCAAATTTTGCTACAGGTTTCATTTAAGTACATTTTTATTAGACTCACTAGCTTCTTTGGTATACCAAATTCAATAAGAATATTATATAACACTTTTCTCTTCACCGAGTCATAGGCTTTTTTGAAATCTATAAATAATTGATGTACGGTCCCACCAAACTCCCATTTTTTCTCTAGTATCTGATGGATGCAAAAGATCTGATCAATCGATCTGTTTCGTCTGAACCCACACTGATGATCCCCAGTAATTTCATACGCATATGGGGTTAATCTTGCCAAGAGAATGTTGGATAGAATTTTGTATGAGGTTGATAGCATCGAAATTCCTCGGTAAATACCACACTCAGTCTTGTCCCCCTTCTTATGAATAGGAATAATTATGGATTCCTTCCATTGTTGTGGCATCTCTTCCTTACTCCAAAAATCATCTAGATTAGTTAAACATTTTAAGGTTTCCTGAAGGCGATCGAAATAGTGCTCGAGATCGTCAACTGCTGTGGAGTCATTAAATCCATTTATCAGATTTGTAAAACCCGTAGCATTGGAACGTTGTGTTGTGCATTTACGCTTTAACCTTCTGAGTTATTCGCCGTTCTCGGTCATACTGATCGAGTCGGAAGAATATCTGTGGCCAGAATTTGTTACGTTTCTGCTCCTTTACTACACCCTTAACTGCGTCTACAGGTTCTCCCTCGATTCAGACCAAAAGAAGTGAATTTTTAGACTTGGTGCTTCTTGGTGGGTGGACGTATTTCTTTTGGTGATGGGTGCTAGGGATGGCGCCGTGTAAGGTTTGATGTCCAGAATTGTAGTAGTTGGCTGTGTTTCTCTGGCACGTTGGGAAGTTATCCTATTTTAACATTCACAATTATAACAGTTCATCAGAGTAAGTTCCAAGTACCGTAAAGATGACCGTGAACTATACCAGTGAAGTAGCAACATCCAGAGGAGTTCGTTGTTCTCGGTCATACTGGTCAAGTCGGAAGAATTTCTGAATCCTTCGTGAAATCGTCGTTAGATAGCGCTATAATTCTGATGGTAATGGGTGTTCCCCCTTTGGCTAATAGATGGCTCCGTGTGAAGAAGGAACGAGTTCGAATGGCTGTTTTAACACAAGCAGTCTTGTAGTTTCAAGGCCGATATGTGATCCTTGTTTCTTTCATTAGAACCACATTTATAGTCGACTGTATTATCCCATATTTCACTTTTCCAACAATGCCACGTTGCCGCACAAATCATAAACCTCGTTATGTAAGAAGGTTCTCTTACCTCAATCTTCTAAGGCAATAAATATTTCCTTCAACACTTTGTTTTTCACACACTCGTCATTTACTTCGAAAGAGACCACGTTTCACACACGTACAAAAAACTGGCAAAATGCTTTGTACAACTTCAGAAATTTGCAAAGCCGACAGAAATACGTTTTAACAGTTTTCCTAACATCGAGTGTTTAACACTGGTATTCGGGATGTCCCCGACTTTCGGCACCAAAAATGTCATGGATTAAAGTAAAGTAGCCTTTTTGACATCATACACAGACACTTACTTTATTGAACTAAATCATGGGTACAAAAAGATCAAGTTTTAGTTCAGAGATGGCACGTGTAGGTATTTTAGCTTTCGATCCTCAACAACAGTAGTAGTTCCATAATTTAACCTTCTATAATTAAGGTAATGACATTTTTTATTATGATGCAGACACAATCACACCATTTCTATAATCGACTCCATTTAAAAAAGGCATAATGCATGAAGGTGGGTTTGCCATTATTCACACCCTGGCACTTGCAATCCAGTTTAAAGAAACTGCAGGATGCTGTTCCAACAAGATGGGGCTTAGAACAGATGCTGGCAACGTCCAAACCAACATTTTCCTGGCCCAGTACTGCACCCAGCTCTACATTCAAGTTAACCGGAATTTCGGCACCTCCCACCAGCCCACAAACCCCCGGGACAAGATCACGTTCCTAAGCTTCTCACCTTTTAGTCCCGCAGTTCTTGATCTTCATATGCACCACGTGCTTGCCAACAATGCAACCATCAATCATGTACACATTCATACTACATTATGCATGTATTCCTAAACCTGTTATTGTGGTCCTACTGCATACTTACTGATACTGTTATGATATTTCTTACACAAGAGCTGTTCTGCTAGGGATGTAAATCACACTTCTTACCTACTGAATTTTTAAAAGAAATCGCCCAGAAACAATGTCCAAGGTCTCCAAATGTGTGTTCTTGCTATGCTTGATTTTCTTACAACATAACAGGGAAAAGATTCTGTTAGAACTAAGATATTTATGTACATTGTAGTATTACAACTAGAAGAATAGATGCCTCTTGATCTCCAGAACACAAACCTCCCCTTTCCCTAAATCAGTGACAGGTAGACCAGAATGGTTTCGACTAGTAATGGTATTTAATACTAGCATTCAGTGACAAACTAGGTAAGAAAGATTTTTTTAGAGGTTATGGAATTACAACTGATGAAAGAGTTAATTTACATAATTTATTATGGTCTCCTTTAGCTTCTAGGCAATTTGGACAAAACCTCATATGCAGTGTGAAAAGTATTTTGTAAGTAGTGTAATTAAGTGTTAGACAGGTTACTGAAATTACTTTACTTTTCAATTTTGGTAAATTATTTTCTATACAACTATTTAGAATAAAACTTATTCCCTCCACAATATAAAGTGAAAAATTGCTATAAAGTTGTCTACTGGGGCGGCTGTACAATACACTAAGGGTTATAATCTCTGAAGAATGAGAGAGAGAAAATTCTGACAGGTTTCATGATTGTGCTTGGGCACTGGGACCATGGGTTCGTATCCCACTCAGGGCATGAATGTTTGTCCACGTCTTTCTGTGTTGTGCTGGCCTGTGTAGGTAGAAGCCTTGCGACGGGCTGATCACTTGTCCATGGAGTCCTATCAAATGTCTAATAAGATTAAATGAACGAATGTTTACCTTGACACCTGCAGGTAAAAGATAAAGACAAAAAAAATTGCATGTAGCCTACTTTGTCAATCTTATTGCCGATAACCATCTTGACAATGCTACT